GTGAGATCTCCCAAATGTGATCTTGGTGACTTGCAGACTGGGTGTTAAAGGATTAGTTTATGAAATGCATATAATTTGAAATGAAATGTGTGGAAGAAAAGTAGTATCGCAAAACAAAATCAAAACATGATAATGAAAGCATTTCCAGAATTAGTAGAAATTGCTGGTACTGAACAAAGCATAATGTGTATGCTTAAAATCGGAACATATTTACATAATGTATACACTTTGAATTGGATAGTCTTCTTTTTCATATTTTATTATAAAGCCTGCTCAAGAAGCTTAGGGAACATCTAGGTTCACTAACTCCTACAGAATGTTAGTTAAGCTTATTGTTACCAGTACAAATGTTGTTTTATAACTTTGAAGAGCAACTTGTAATAGAAACCTTTGTTACTGAAATAATTAAAATATTTTCCAAGAGAAATGGACCAGACATGGCCTGTTGGTCAGTGGGTCAAACTCTGAATCTGAATTTCTATGGTTCACATTCTCTTGTCATAAAATCACCCTTCACATGAAATGGGTAGGTAGTATTGAGTTTGCTGGATGGCTAGTGCAAGTAGCCCTTGTATAGCTTTGAATAAATATCTGAAACAAACAAATAAACATTTAAGAAAAATGAGCATGCAGAAGGGAGTGTAACACTGTTACAAATATATGTGTGGTAATTAGATTAAAAAGGCCAATATTCGTGGGTGAATGCAACATGTCTCCACCATAAAATCTCAACATGGCCAATTTTTACACCAAAAAATTGTTAAAAACACATAATTTTAAAACTTTTTATGTATATCACTGCTGAAAGAAGGTATATTTGTACTAAATTCCATGTAAGTTGGGTGACATACACATAAATAGTTCATGAAAACTCCAAACTGAGCTTTTCTTGCTGAAAAATTGAGCAAAAGACAATTTCAAAAATTCCTAAGTAAATACAAAAAAAACCCTTAAAATTGTGCTTATTGTGACATTTTGAACCCCCCCCCCCCATAACTACAAAAATTTGCAAGCAAGTCTTCTGTTGTTGTCTGTCAATGTGTGGATCCTGTAGAAAAGTATCTTTGTACCAAATCCCATTTAAAATGGTTGAGTAATTGACCCAAGACCCCAAAGAAGACTCAAATTGAGAAAATTCAACTTTTTTGAATGTCAATATATTGGGGGCATGAACATTTATATTCTGCCTATTTTCATCTTGATTCTTATAAATATGACTGCACAAGAGCCCAAAATGTACATTTTTGGGTTGTTTGACATTTGACTCCATGCAATCCTTAAAAGGGGTCTAAATAAATAAATAAAAATATATCTGATCGTATTGAAACAAGGTATAACCCTTCCAAGTTTGAACTCAATCTGCTGCAAATTGACGGAATGGTGGTCAGTTGAAAAATATTTGGGAGAAGAAGAATCAATAAAAAAAAATGTCTTTCTGTGGAGACATAAATGTGAATCTTACATTGTAGGAGCTTTCTCTTAGAGCATTTACAAAACAATATTTAAAATTTTAGATTTTGAAACAATAAAATTGTTTTAGTAACTAATATTATAAATGCTTGTGTAGTATAGCATATTGTTTTAAGATGTGGCCATTGGTTAGTGACAAAAGAACAGTTAATACTAAAATAGTAATTATATTTGAGTGTGTGTGTGTGTGTGTGTGTGTGTTGTATGTATGTATGTATATAAACACACACGAGAGAGAGAGAGAGAACTTGAAGCTTAGCTCATTCCAGTTCATTACTGTTTTTGTTGCATATTTCATGTATTCCTAATACATGAAATAATTGTGAACATATGATTAGATCATGTATTTTAAAGGTATAAACATTTAGCCTAGAAATTTATGAATGGGAAGAATGATTGATTAAGAAAATGAAAAGATATTCCAGTATTGTTTTTTTTCTTAAATTATATATATTATTTTATTTTTTTTTTTTTTTTTTTCCCTGTTCATTGTTGTAATTTTTATCTTGTTTTGCTTCATATTCTTGTTTTAAGATTTGTT